ATGTTTCCTGGTTGTGACAGAGTGAAAATGGGTTCATTTGTCTTTATTGCAGGGTTTGATATTTGTGTGTTACTACCATGCATGAATGGTGGGACTTGCGTAGCTTTTGACACTTACGCCATTTGCAACTGTCCTGAAAACTACAATGGAGTCCTCTGTCAAATATACACAGGTGGGTGCCCAGCTGACTGTCATTTGGTTTAGGTTGATGTTGATTCATACAAAATACATTTGTTGGTCTTTATTGAATGAACTTGTACTGAACTGAAAAATGACTAGCTTTTCTGTTTAGTAACAGATCTTTTTAGCATGACTGTGGCTGATTTATATAAACCCTAACGATCCCCAACCAGACAAACTCTAACACCAACTGGTTATGCAAATTGTGAATGTCCATATGTCTACACTGGTTTCTGCATCAAATTTGTACTGGTTCGTGATTTGTGACATTTGTAACTTATCTTTTAAAAATACAGAGCACAGAAGATGCACCTTGGGGAGGGTGTTAAGTGTAATGACATTTATTCCCTTATTCTACACTAGTTTTCTGTTTTTAGTTCACTCATTTTTTTTCAATTCTGCAGGTCCACCAACAACACCACAAGGATCTACCTCAGTTTCTGTCTCGGAAGTTGTGACAGTGACGAAACCGACGATGATGTCATCACAGGGACCTGTGACTCACCCGGTTTTTTCTACTGGTTCAACGATGACAACAAGGTTCACCGAACCGTTAGGATCTACTTCAGAAACCACAACCTCAGTTGAATCATCAGAGAGTCCAGTGACGGATCAAATGTCTTCATCCATGCCACTGTCAACTGTGACTACACAAACCCCTATTGATGTCAGGGTGACAACGGACACATCCACCACCAGTCAACTTCCCGTCACGACCATTGAAGATTTTTTTACTACAACTGAGCCCACAAATACCACAATCACCGTTTATACCAAGCTGCCTGCTCTGATCCAGCTGTTGGTTGAAACAGATACGCCTGCCATTTCAACAGGTTTCAACATTACTACCATTCCTGAGAACGCAATCATAGACATCGTCAATATAACAGAAATTGGTGTTGTCATTTTGGACATCACCACATCTAGAGAAGCATACACTACGATTGTGGTAACCACGCAGGAACCCTCCGACATGTTTGTCTTAGTTGAAACAGTAGATGCTGAGAACACTGCCGCACTAGCATTTGGAATATTGAACGTCACCTTACCAACAACACCAATGTCAACACCCAAAGAAGAGACATCCGCAACAATGATGATAGACTCCACTATGGCACCTGACAAGCCACAATCCTCACCTTCCCCAGAAATCATAACAAGGTTCATGAAAACTCTGACAACCGTGGGAAGTGCCCTTGTGGAAGCCACCGTCATGACGATGAGCCCTGCAAACTACACCCTCGTTATTTTGACCAGTAATCCAAACCAAACAACCAACATCAGCATTGAAACAGTCCCTGAAAATGTCGCTGATGATGTGGAGACTGTGACCATGCAGAATCCTGATGGCCTAGTTGTGTCTTTCAAAACATTTCAAAATGTTAATGTAACGCTAACTATGAGTTTATTGGAAATGGCTAATATTTCTCTAATTGTTGATACCACAGCTCAGTCTAATTTCATTGTGCTTGAAGAAAAAGATGTTGCAACTCAGATGCCTTCAGAACCAGTCATTGAAAGCTTCACAAGATCCATTCTGACTCAGGGAGAGACTCTTGTTAGAGCCCGTACTTCAACAGCTAGTCCGGCAAATTACACTTTGGTCATTTACACCAGAAACCCAGAGCAAACAGCTAATGTAAGTCTAGTGA